GTCTCGCGCGGGGGCCGGGCCGGGCGTGGGGGGCTCCGATCCAGCGCGGAGCCGGGGGGTGGGGGGGACCGGGCCCTGCCCCTCGGCCCTGTGCTCCTCTCCGGTCCCTCCCTGCGCTGCCCGCTGCCCTTGGGCGGCCCGCCTCCTGCGGAGCCTGGTACCTCTCCTCCTCCTCCTCCTCCTCCCCCGCAGCCTCCCGCAGCCCCGCAGCCTTCGCTGTGCTTCTCCCTGGCGTGTCCTTGTCCGCAGCCTCTGGTCAGTCCCGCACCACCGTGTTGTGGGGCCGGTCCTCCGGCGCTGCCCCTCCTCGCACCCACCATCCTAGGCGACAGGGGTCGGGGCTCAGGACAGCGTCCCTGTGGCGTAAGGAGCCCCTGGGCGTGAGGTGGGCTGGGCAGGTGGGCCCTGGCCAGTCCTCCCCAGGAGCGCAGGCCTGCCAGTGGCATCTGTGGGAAGGGCAGTCAGGAGGGCTGGCTGTTGGGATTTTCCAGAGCCGGGCCAGGCCCAGAATGGCCAAGTTCTGTGTCCTTGCATCACTGTCGTCCCCTCCCGCATGGGTCTCAGGTGGAAGGGTCCCCCACCTAGAGAGTTGGGAAGCCAGGGCTGGAAGGAGGCAGGTGGCTGGCATCCCCATGGCCTCCAAAGACTCCGCTGGGCACCTGGTCCTGGCAGGGGGCCAAGGTCAGAAACACTTCTTGCCTGGGGTGCCTGTGGCCAGCAGGTTGGATCTCTGGGACCAGGCCTATACCCCCCAGGCAGCCTGGGGTGCGCCTCCCGGGACAGGGCTCCAGGGCGATGAGAGCCAGTGTTGGTGGCAGCCCTGGGGATTCTCAGCGACAAGGTCTTGCCTGACACCAGGGCTGGGCACAGACACTGCAGTGGAAGCCTCCAGGTGCCCAGAAGGGAGCAAGGAATGCTTGTCTCTTGGGCCCGTGGGGAGACTGTTGGTCTTAGAGCCTGGGCTGTGAGCCGGGAACCTGTGGACTGCAGCTTGACCGTCAGTGTTCACTCTCCCAGGAGGGGCCTTGGGTTCAGAGCTGGGATTCTGGGTGGAACTGGGCTGGCAGGGGCTATGTGCTGAGTGCCATATGGGGGAGGGCATCGTGTGGAAGGCGAGGCGTCTGTGGCCAGCTGCGTGGGATGTGAGCATACCCACCCTCCCACACTCCGTGCTGTTTCCATTTGTGAAAACAGTCCCAGCCATCAGTGAGCTGGACACCAAGGCCTCACCTGGAGGAGGGCCCAGATCACTGTCACCAAGTCCCTTCAGTTACCATGGCAACACTGTCCTCAGCCCTCACCTGATTCTGCCCCTCCCTTGACACAGCAGGAGTGGAGAACTAAGGGGAGGACTGGGGCCAGGTGGACATCCAGATCCACGGGCACCTGGGGGTATGTGTGACGACCTTGAGGGCAGAGGTTGGGCAACCTTGCAGACACCCAAGTGGGGCACGAGGTGAGGCTTTCAGGTGGGGCAGAACCAGAACTACCTGACTGTAACCAGATGCCCTCAGTAGCTCACCCTCCTCACTGCCAACCAGGCCTCCCCTCCCACAGCTCAGTGTGGCCGTTGCTACAGTGATGGGGGAGGCGGCTGGGGCCTGTTGCTGTCTCTTCAGCAGCAGAGGTCTCCCATGTGGGCAGGGCCAGCATCCTGACTGTGACCCTG